GGGACATTGGGGATGTTGGGGACATTTGGGGACATTGGGGACATTGGGGGGATTGGGGACATTGGGGATGTTGGGGACATTTGGGGACATTGGGGACATTGGGGGGATTGGGGACATCGGGGACATTTGGGGACATTGGGGACATTGGGGACATTGGGGGGATTGGGGACATGGGGTGAAGGACAAGGATGGGGGAGGGACAACATCAACTGGTGGTGGGGACATCAATGGGGACACCAAGGTGTGCCCAGGTGTGTCCCCAGGTGTGTCCAGGTGCGTCCCCAGGTGTATCCCAGGTGTATCTCAGGTGTCCCCAGGTGTGTCCCCATGTCCCCATGTCCCCAGGTGTCCCCAATGTCCCCAGGTGTGTCCCCATGTCCCCATGTCCCCAGGTGTCCCCAATGTCCCCAGGTGTGTCCCCAATGTCCCCAGGTGTATCTCAGGTGCATCTCAGGTGTCCCCAGGTGTCCCCAGGTGTCCCCAGGTGTGTCCCCATGTCCCCAGGTGTATCTCATGTGTATCTCAGGTGTGTCCCCAGTGTCCCCAGGTGTCCCCAGGTGTCCCCAGGTGTGTCCCCAATGTCCCCAGGTGTCCCCAAGTGTGTCCCCAATGCCCCCAGGTGTATCCCAGGTGTGTCCCCATGTCCCCAGGTGTGTCCCCAATGTCCCCAGGTGTATCTCAGGTGTGTCCCCTCTATCCCAGGTGTGTCCCCAATGTCCCCAATGTCCCCAGGTGTGTCCCCAGTGTCACCAGGTGTATCCCAGGTGTATCTCAGGTGTCCCCAGGTGTGTCCCCAATGTCCCCAGGTGTATCTCAGGTGTCCCCAGGTGTATCTCAGGTGTCCCCAGGTGTGTCCCCAATGTCCCCAGGTGTCCCCAGGTGTGTCCCCTCTATCCAGGTGTCCCCAGATGTGTCCAGGTGTGTCCCCAGGTGTGTCCCAGGTGTCCCCAGGTGTGTCCAGGTGTGTCCCCAGGTGTGTCCCAGGTGTCCCCAGGTGTGTCCCCTCTATCCAAGGTGTGTCCCCAATGTCCCCAGGTGTGTCCCCAATGTCCCCAGGTGTCCCCAGGTGTCCCCAGGTGTCCCCAGGTGTCCCCGTGTCCCACCTGGCGGTACAGGGACTCCTTGCTGGCCAGCTCGTTCTCCAGGCGGTCGTTGGCGTCGTGCAGCGACGTGGCCTCGCGCTGAGCGCTCAGGTAGCGCCGCTCCAGCGTGGTGATGCGCTCCTCCATGTCCTCCCGCTGCGCCAGCGCCTGGGACAGGGGACATGGGGGACATGGGGACATTGGGACATTGGGGACACTGGGGACATTGGGGGGATTGGGGACATTGGGGACATTGGGGACATTGGGGACATCAATGGGGACATTGGGGGATTGGGGACATCGGGGACATTGGGGGGATTGGGGGAATTGGGGACATTGGGGGGATTGGGGACATTGGGGACATTGGGGACATTGGGGGGATTGGGGACATTGGGGATATTGGGGACATTGGGGACATCGGGGACATTGGGGACATCGGGGATGTTGGGGACATTGGGGACATCGGGGACATTGGGGACATTGGGGGGATTGGGGACATTGGGGACATCGGGGATATTGGGGACATTGGGGACATTGGGGACATTGGGGACATTGGGGACATCGGGGACATTGGGGACATTGGGGACATTGGGGGGATTGGGGACATTGGGGACGTTGGGGACATTGGGGACATTGGGGACATCGGGGACATTGGGGGGATTGGGGGGATTGGGGACATTGGGGACATTGGGGACATTGGGGACATCGGGGACATTGGGGACATTGGGGGGGTTGGGGACATTGGGGACATTGGGGACATTGGGGACATTGGGGACACGGGGACATTGGGGACATTGGGGGGATTGGGGACATTGGGGACATTGGGGACATTGGGGGGGTTGGGGACATCGGGGACATTGGGGACATTTGGGGGATTGGGGACATTGGGGACATTGGGGACATTGGGGACATTGGGGACATCGGGGACATTGGGGACATTGGGGACAATGAGGACATTGGGGACAGTGGGGGGGTCACAGGGACATTTGGGACATTGGGGTCATTGGGGACATTGGGGACATTGGGGACATTGGGGAGACATTGGGGACATTGGGGGGACATTGGGGACATTGGGGGGACATTGGGGACATTGGGGACATTGGGGACATCAGGGACATTGGGGACATTGGGGGATATTGGGGGACATTGGGGACAGCCATTCCCTCCCAGTTTGGGGCCATTTTTTTCCATTTTTTCCCATTTTAAAGCCATTTTCCCCATTTTTTCCCCTTTTTTTCCCATTTTAAAGCCATTTTTCCCATTTTTTCCCGTTTTTTTCCAATTTTTCCCCTTTTTGTCCCGTTTTATCCCATTCTCACCTCCTTGAGGTCCCTCTGGAGTTCCGCCCTGGGCCAGCTCCAGTTTGGGGTGAAACCCTCCCAGTTGGGGCCATTTTTTCCCATTTTTTTGCCGTTTTTTTCCCATTTTTTCCCATTTTTTCCCATTTTTTCCCCTTTTTCCCCATTTTTCCCCGTTCTCACCTCCTTGAGGTCCCTCTGCAGCTCAGCCCCAGTTTGGGGTTAAACCCTCCCAGTTTGGGGCCATTTTCCCCATTTTTTCCCGTTTTTTCCCATTTTTTTGCCGTTTTTTTTCCCGTTTTTTCCCATTTTTTCCCATTTTTCCCCCATTTTATCCCATTCTCACCTCCTTGAGGTCCCTCTGGGGCTTGACCTGGGCCAGCTCCAGTTTGGGGTGAGACCCTCCCAGTTTGGGGCCATTTTTTCCCATTTTTTTGCCGTTTTTTTCCCATTTTTTCCCATTTTTTTCCCGTTTTTTCCCGTTTTTTCCCATTTTTTCCTGTTTTTTCCCATTTTTTCCCATTTTCACCCGTTTTTCCCCATTCTCACCTCCTTGAGGTCCCTCTGCAGCTCGGCGCCCGCCTCGTGGGCCCGGGCCAGCTCCAGTTTGGGGCCATTCCCTCCCAGTTTGGGGCCATTTTTTCCCATTTTAAAGCCATTTTTCCCATTTTTTTGCCGTTTTTTCCCGTTTTTTCTGTTTTTTCCCCATTTTTCCCCGTTCTCACCTCCTTGAGGTCCCTCTGGAGCTCAGCCCTGGGCCAGCTCCAGTTTGGGGTGAAACCCTCCCAGTTTGGGCCATTCCCTCCCAGTTTGGGGCCATTTTTTCCCATTTTTTCCCATTTTTTCCCATTTTAAAGCCATTTTTTCCCATTTTTTCCCATTTTTTCCCGTTTTTTCCACGTTTTTTCCCATTTTTCCCATTTTTCCCCCATTTTTCCCCATTCTCACCTCCTTGAGGTCCCTCTGCAGCTCGGCCCTGGGCCAGCTCCAGTTTGGGGTGAAACCCTCCCAGTTTGAGCCATTTTTTCCCATTTTAAAGCCATTTTTTCCCGTTTTTTCCCCATTTTCCCCCATTTTTTCCCATTTTTTCCCATTTTATCCCGTTCTCACCTCCTTGAGGTCCCTCTGCAGCTCAGCCCCGGGCCAGCTCCAGTTTGGGGTGAAACCCTCCCAGTTTGGGGCCATTTTTTCCCCGTTTTTTCCCATTTTAATGCCATTTTCCCCATTTTTTTGCCGTTTTTTCCCATTTTTTTGCCGTTTTTTCCCGTTTTTTCAGGTTTTCCCCCATTTTTCCCCATTCTCACCTCCTTGAGGTCCCTCTGCAGCTCGGCGCCCGCCTCGTGGGCCCGGGCCAGCTCCAGTTTGGGGCCATTCCCTCCCAGTTTGGGGCCATTTTTTCCCATTTTAAAGCCATTTTTCCCATTTTTTTGCCGTTTTTTCCCGTTTTTTCTGTTTTTTCCCCATTTTTCCCCGTTCTCACCTCCTTGAGGTCCCTCTGGAGCTCAGCCCTGGGCCAGCTCCAGTTTGGGGTGAAACCCTCCCAGTTTGGGCCATTCCCTCCCAGTTTGGGGCCATTTTTTCCCATTTTTTCCCATTTTTTCCCATTTTAAAGCCATTTTTTCCCATTTTTTCCCATTTTTTCCCGTTTTTTCCACGTTTTTTCCCATTTTTCCCATTTTTCCCCCATTTTTCCCCATTCTCACCTCCTTGAGGTCCCTCTGCAGCTCGGCCCTGGGCCAGCTCCAGTTTGGGGTGAAACCCTCCCAGTTTGAGCCATTTTTTCCCATTTTAAAGCCATTTTTTTCCCGTTTTTTTCCCCATTTTCCCCCATTTTTTCCCATTTTTTCCCATTTTATCCCGTTCTCACCTCCTTGAGGTCCCTCTGCAGCTCAGCCCCGGGCCAGCTCCAGTTTGGGGTGAAACCCTCCCAGTTTGGGGCCATTTTTTCCCCGTTTTTTCCCATTTTAATGCCATTTTCCCCATTTTTTTGCCGTTTTTTCCCATTTTTTTGCCGTTTTTTCCCGTTTTTTCAGGTTTTCCCCCATTTTTCCCCATTCTCACCTCCTTGAGGTCCCTCTGCAGCTCGGCGCCCGCCTCGTGGGCCCGGGCCAGCTCCAGTTTGGGGTGAAACCCTCCCAGTTT